GTGAGCAGTTTTCCTTTTCAGGCTTTGGCTATATTATTAATGTTTGGCCTTTATTAATGTTTCAATGTTAATAGTGAATTTTTTAAACTAATTTGAAAGATCCTTCATAGTGTTTGGGTAATATAATTGTTTCCAAGAATGTTTGTAAAGAATGCTTGATTTAAATATATGTGTCAAATAGAATTGAAAGTTTTTATAAGAGAGAGAAGATCATTGAGTAATTCAAAGAAATAAAGGTGAATTTGGCTGAATGAACTGGCAAAAAAATCAAATGGGTAGACTACTATATAGCATAAAAAAGGTTTAACAGTCATGTATTTCTGTTGAGTGTGATGGTCCATGCCTATAGTCCCAGAATTCAGGAGGCTGAGGCAGAAAGGATGCTAATTTGAGACCAGTGTGGGCTATGTACACGAGATTCTGTCTGAAAACAAATTCAACAGACCTCCATTTTTACTCTGGCTTCTGCTATGTGTATCTTCACAAACGTACATGGCTACTAAATGTTTTCTGTGTCACTGGCTGGAGAAATTGATGCCTTATTATTATCATTCATATCAATTTTTGTGAGGAACTGTGTGTTCCTGAGCATTTTTTTCCCCCTTGTAAGTAATCAGTGAATGACATCTGCAGTGGAAGAATGTCAGAATAAAGCAAGATGGAAGACTCAGTCCGTGAAATCTAAGAGAAGCCCCTGGAGAGCCAGATGAGGTCAGGCATTCGCAGGGTTATGGAGGCTCTGTTCGTTAAGGGGATCACCCCTACTCCCCAGAACAAGCATGCTGCAGTCCTGCAGCTAGGCCTGCTTCTGAGGGCTACCCTGCACAATTCCAGTGTTACCAATTTGGGCTTTCAACACCTATGTTTATTTATTGTGGACTTTAATAGTTTGCTGACTCTGAGCAGATTAGAGAAAAGAAATATCAACCAGTGTCAGTAAGGAATGATCAGGCGTGTGAAGCCAGATATGCCCAAAGTAGAAATTTTGCTTTGGCCATATATGTATTAAACTGAAAGTCTAGTTTTTTTTGTTTCGTTTTGTTTTTAATAGGTTATTCTCCCTCGGGTTTCAAAGTGACTCCACCCAAGGAGGCATTTCTGTTATTTTTAAGAAGTTTTTAGGAGATGTTTTCATTTTTCTTTGTAGCTATGTGATAGTTAAGGTCAATGCTGGCAATAGCCTATAGGAAAGAAAAGAGAAAAGAAAAAGAAACAATGACCAAAAGTAGATCTTTATATGAGATTTACCTGAAATATGTCAGAAGTCTCCACAAAGTTGGATGAGACAGAAAAATGCCAGTGAGCTCATTTTTTTAGTTTTAATTGGGCTTAAAGCTTTTAAAGGCTTTCTGTGTCTTTTTGTTGTGTTTTTACTATGAGAGAGAGAGAGAGAGAGAGAGAGCGCACCACGGCTTTTATATGGATAATCTATGGTGTCCATATTCTCCTTCCACCTTTAAGAGCATCCTAGGGATCAAACTTACGTAGTCAGGCTTGAATCTTTCGATAACAAGCACCCTTACCCCATGAGTCATCTTGCCAACCTTATTTCTCTCCTTTTTTTTAAAAAAAATTGTCTAAAGAACCATTACTGTTAATGACAAATGGCACTAAGCATTTCTTTTTAAAATGTTTCATTTGTGACACATCCACTTTCAGTAACTGAATAACCACACCCCATTGCAGATGCATGTCGGAAAAAGATTATTTTTGTAACTAACCTTTATTTTATTACTTTTGCAAAAGCCAATTGAAAAATAAATTTATTGCTTTGAAAAGTGATTTGAAAAACATGCAGTGAACATTTGACTTTTATACCTCATAGCAGCAACATACAGATGCATGCATTTAATCCCAGCACTCCAGAGGCAGAGGCATGTGAATCTCAGTTTAAGGCCAGAGGGAGTTCCATGGAAGCCAGGGTTACACACAGAAACCCTGTCTTGGAAAACCAAAGACGGGGTTAGGGGGTGACGCCAGACCTGTGTTCAAAGGTCACAGAAGAGCATAGAAGATTGGAAACATTTCATTAAAATTCTGCCCATGATAAGATTGTTTCCTTAAAAGGGTGCAAATGCCTCTGTAGTTGTAAAGCTCCCGTGAGCTATCATTAGTATCTCTTGGTGTTCTGACAGAAGCCTGGGGCATCCAGAGCTACTTTGAATCGAGTTAGTTTGCTGATTGAAAGCGATGCTCAATGAAAGAAATGGCCTTTTTCCTAGAATAAACATCATTTGAAGGGTTTTAGTTTTCATTGCTCATAGCTCCTCACTTGTTACATAAAAAAAAAAAAGGAAAAAAAAAGAAAGAAAATCTGTGCATGTGAAAATCTCCTGGGGAAGTCTTCAGTGTCATCCTTCAGCATAGCCCCTGGTAGCAAAAGCAAGGATATCGCTGTCTTCCTCTCAAGGGCAGGAAGTAAGCAAGGTCAAAGGTGAATGTGTATTGCAGGAAGCCACAGCTTCGGAACAGGAACTAGACGTACACATGGGTACTAATTTCTAATACAAGGCACACGGAAACTTGGCACAAAGAATATCTACAGTGCTTGAATGCAAAGATCATTTTACGCCAATCTTTGCCTCCTCCTCATGCATGCTTTACACAGTTTAGTATGGACGGGTTCCTGGACCCTCTGTGTGAGGAATATCAGACAGTCCACAGAGAGTCAATACTCAGTTCCTCTTTCGCTGACTTGTTTCTAAGATGCACAAGGTCACCTTAGAAAGGTTTTAGGAAGTGTCCATGGCCAGCCCCACACAACAAATAGCCATTAAGACAGGATCACTGGGAGACAGTGTGCAAATGCCAAGATGCTTTTGCAGTTTTCTGGGTGTTTCTGAGTCCACCAGGAGAAGCTGCCACTGGTCTTCCTGGGTTATGAAGCACTGCAATTATCTAGTTAATCTTCATTTAATTGTACTAATTCATCTCATAAATGTTCAGATGTCAAGAGTCTGTGAAGCTTTAACAAAGAGACTAAGGGCAATATAAAATATTCTGCGTGTTGTCCTTACAAGGAGGCATCACTTTTGGCTCAGAGTTTTCTCCACCGAAAGCTAATAGTGCCATGGCATACACCTGTGCAGGGGTTCTAGGTTATCTCCATGAATGGTTCTTGGTTGGAGTATCAGTCTCAGATAAGACTCCTGGGCCCAGATTTCTTGGTTCTATTGCTCTTCTTGTGGAACTTCTGTCCTCTCCAGTTCTTACTATCTCCCCCTTCTTTCATAAGATTCCCTGCACTCTCCCCAAAGTTTGGTTCTGAATCTCAGCATCTGCTTTGATACATTGCTAGGTAGAGTCTTTCAGAGGCCTTATGTGGTATGCTCCTGTCCTGTTCCCTGTTTTCTTCTTCTTCTGATGTCTGTCCTGCTTGCCTTTCTGTGTGAGGATTGATCATCTTATCTTGGGTCCTTCTTGCTTAGCTTCTTTAGTTGTACAGATTTTAATATGTTTATCCTATATTACATCCAAGTGGATTCCCTAGTAAGGGGAACAGGGACTATCTCTGACATGAACTCAATGGCTGGCTCTTTGATCATCCCCACCCAAGTGGGGGGCAGCCTTACCAGGCCACAGAGAAAGACAGTGCAGCCAGTTCTGTTGAGACCTGGTATACTAGAGTCAGATGGAAGGGGAGAAGGACCACCTCTATCAATAAACTTGGAGAGGGGCATGGGAGGATATGAGGGAGGGAGGGGGGGATTGGGAGGGGATGAAGGAGGGTGCTACAGCTGGGATACCAAGTGAATAAACTGCAATTAATATAAAAATTAAAATAAAAAAAAGAGTTGATGGTGTTCAAAAGGGTAGGGGGTTACAGCTAGGAAAATAACTGACTATTTCGGATAGGGTATCTGCTTGTCAGCTCTGGGAGCATCCTCTGTTAGTCCATCCCTTGTCCCTTAGATATTGTATTTCTGTAAGAACTGCAAGAGGCTCCAATGGGACCCTGATCTGTTTCCCTTTCTCGGAGGAGATAGCATTTAGAAGGACCCAGTTCTCAGGGCAAGTTACAGTCTTTATTTCTATAGCTCATCTTACAGCTTCAACAGATTTTTCCTTCTCCTTATTTGGACACCAGTCAGCAGACTGGGGTCTGCTCTGAATGTAGGTAAGTTTCTCTCCGAGCTTGCACCTCTGTTAGTCTCGGTTCATGATGTGTGGGACAAGCAGACGTTCATCCCTCGAGGACCTGGGCTCCTAACCTCCACTTCTCTCAGGCAGGACTGCTGCCCTCATCCCCTCACCGTAGAATTTAGGTGAGGAAGTGGACATCAGCAGATCACCTGGCTTCCTCTTCCCACAGGGTCACAGTAGTTCAGTCTTGTTCTCCTGGCTCATGCTGTTACCCAGAATCCTTAGCCAGGAAGAGATGATAGCTTACATTTCTGATTTGTCTCTGAGGGAGAGCATCTCCAGTGGTAATCTTTAAACCAACAGAAACCAAAATAAGAAGCACAAAGGAGTCCCAAATTAAGTGAGTGGAATGGATGGACTGGTTTCCTGCATCGGACATAGCAAACTGCATTATCTGAGATTCATTTTATCGAAGTTCTGTAAGACTGCAATCTGAAATAACACCTTGCTAACAGAATAGTTCCTGTGCTTTAGCAGGAGCGACCCCTGTGTATGTTTGAAGTTGTTTCTTCAGAAGGCCTTTGTTTTACTCCTGTCCATATTTAGGGCCTGGAGACTGGGGAGTCTTTTACAGTGCTCCGAATTAATGCTGAAACTGTGAGGCAGAACCACAACAAACTTGAAAAGAAGCTGCAAAGATGGCTTCGTGTACTGGGAGTTCATGTTGCATGCATGCTCTGTAATATTCTACATAACTGTATGATGATTATGACTTTTATTAAAAATTCAAATTTAGTAATATACTTTAGAAGTTTCATTGTGATATTTACTAAATCCAAAAGTTACAGAATATACCACAAGTCAAATTAGTAGTCACCTTTGTGGCTTTGCAAAAAAAAAATCTCTCTCTCTCTCTT